TATATATATATATATATATATATATATATATATATATATATATATATATATATATATATATATATATATATATATATATATATATATATATATATATATATATATATATATATATATTATATTTATATATACATATATACAGTATATGCATAATATATACATATATTTATTTATTTATTATTTATTTATTATTTATATATATATATATATATATATATATATATATATATATATATATATATATATATATATATATATATATATATATATATATATATATATATATATATATATATATATATATATATATATATATATGCATAATATATATATATATATATAATATATATATATATATATATATATATATATATATATATATATTATATATATATATAAATATATACAGTATATGCATAATATATACATATGTATTTATTTATTTATTTATATATTCATATATATATATATATATATATATATATATATATATATATATATATATATATATATATATATATATATGTATGTATGTATACAGGACCATCGACAGGGGAGGTAGCCGGGGCAACGACCCATGGGCAAAGAACATTGCTAGGCCCTCAGGGCCACATCCTTTTTAGATGGGAAACACCTTTTTCAAACAGGAAACGCCCATTTTTCCCTTAAACTTGTTAACCTTAACAGCTGTAACGTTGTTTTAGTATAAATAACCCCTATAATTTTGCTGCGTTAGTTGTTCTTGGGCTCACATAAGTGACTACTGTAATTTTTTATGAGCCCCGGGGTCGTTGCCCCGGCTACCTCCCCTGTCAATGGTCCTGTATACATACATACATATATATATATATATATATATATATATATATATATATATATATATATATATATATATATATATATATATATATATATATATATATTATATATATATATTTATATATATATATATATATATATATATTATATATATATATATATATATATATATATATATATATATATATATATATAATATATATTATATGTATATATATATATATATATATATATATATATATATATATATATATATATATATATATATATATATATATATATATATATATTATATATATATATATAATACATATATATATATATTATATATATTATATATACATGTATATATATATATATATATATATATATATAATATATATATATATATATTATATATATATATATATATATATATATATATTTTTTTTTTTTTTTTTTTTTTTTATACATACAAATATATATATTCATGTATATATATATATATATATATATATATATATATATATTATATATATATATATATATATATATATATGTGTGGTGTGTGTGTGTGTGTGTGTGTGTGTGTGTGTGTGTGTGTGTGTGTGTGTGTGTGTGTGTGTGTGTGTGTGTGTGTGTGTGTGTGTGTGTGTGTGTGTGTGTGTGTGTGTGTGTGTGTGTGTGTGTGTGTGTGTGTTTGTATGAATAATATACTTAGAAATTCCAATAATGTGAAATGATAACTTGGGGAAGTGAATAAATTTTACAAATAGTAAAACACAAAGCATTCAGTGATTCATTCTTGAAAATGGATAATGAGGGATTTTTTTCTGTTAACCCTAAGTGCCTATGAGTTAAAATGAAACGGCAGACTTTTCAGTGACTTGGAAATGCATACTAATCTAATGTTAGAAAAAAAAATGTGAACACCAGTTCAGCCCATGCTGGGATTCTTTCTTTTATGGCATTCTTTCTTCTGTCTGTTAGAGTCTTAACTAGAAAAAGCATACAGAATTTGCTGCATATGTTGCAAAATGAATAATGTATTAAATTTTCACATGTCCACTAGCAGCTTTTGAAAGTACATATAAGTACAGCATACCTAATTCTAGGCTGAAGATTAATACAGAACAGGATTATATATGTATAAAATGTCATTCTGTATATTGCCATGGATCAGTAGTGCTAAGATTAACTGTCGTTAATCATTACTGTCTTGTATATTGATGTCTGTGATATTGTACTCATTTGGATAATAATGAACTCAACCTATTTATTCAATACAAATATCTGTATATATCAAGATATTTGATATTTTATGTTCAGAAACAAGGTCATTTTGTAAACAAGACAACTTTGTCTCATAGACATATACAGTTCTTACATTCCTCAGCTAAGCATTGAACTTTGCTAATGATGTCTTGTTACAAGTGTTTGTTATTTGGTTCCTAGACTTATGGTGTCATGAATGTTACTCTGTGACAATACTAGAACAGCGTCCCAAAGTATAGTTTAATGTGATTTATATGTAATTTTGTATCTCCTGTATCCTAAATTATCAGCTGTACAAAACTAAACAAGAGAGAATTAAAGTTTACAATTAGACTGTTACTGTTGTGAGAAACTTTCTTCATATTTCATCCCAAAACATTTTTGTTTTCATCTTATTTGCCATGACAGAAGTACATAGATCTATGTTATATTTCTGAAATGTTTCCAAAGTTAGTCTCCTACTGCCTTTTATAGTGGTATGAATCTCCTGAAATCAGATCTGTCAATAGGCATTTTGATTTTAGTTTCACACTAAAGGCTTTCTGTATTTACATATAATTTTTTTTATTGTGCTGTTTTCTTAATGTCAAATATATATACCTAGTGAGTTTCTATGTTAGATTTACTTACAGAGCTTTTACTCATATGACTATTCTTTAAAGATTTTGTTATAGTTTATTAGGGATGGCATTTCTGAATTTGGATCCATATGACTTATTATCAGATGTTGCATATTTATATCAAAGGTTATTTTTGTAAGTTACTTCAGCATAGTGTACATCAGTAGTTGAAAATCAAGATTTTCTTATATATTTATTAATAATTACATGATTACAAGCTCTAGAAATTGTACTCCTTACCATATGCTGTTTAGAGTAACTGTGAGGTTAACTGTGCCAAAATTTCTGATGCAACAGCCAACATCAGATTTTCACGTATACTTACAACCTCTCAATGTAGCAGTGGTATTTGTGTGATATGTGACAATCTGTAATTCAATTTTTGTTCTTTGCATTTTGCTCAGTCACTATGTTTAGTTTTAAAACAATGTGTAAGAGTTTAGTTCTAATGAAAAAACAGCATTACTTTTTCCTGTAAGGCATTCTAGCATGGCATCCTTCTCTGGTTTATTTGTTAAATATTCCTCTTCCAGTTGTCAGAGCCTCATTCATGGTAATTATCAAAAAATAAGATTTCTCTGCATCCTCTTCCCCAACTGTGTAAGTGGTGTGTGTCTGTGTGTAGCCTAAGTTAAGATGAAAAAATGCTTCCTTTTTCCATCCTCTAAATAGGATCCTGTTTAGATTGTGGTTGTTGGTTACGAGGTAGAGAAATGACTGACTTGTGTGAAATTTTTTGAACAGTAATTATTTGTATTACTCAGAAAAAATACAAAAAAGATGCATAAGGAAATACAATATCTTGCTTGTCAAAAGATATTGTGGTTCATATATAAAGTTTGTACAATATATATATATAACAAATATATAAAGCAGTCCTTTCTCAATTTTGTGTTGTTGTCCATTTAGGTGTTCTAACGTGTTTGCAAAAATTTTGTAAAATCATGTATATTTACCTTGTACAGTTGTTGTTGCATCTTAAAAAAAAATTAAAAATAGCCACACAAATTTATTTAATCCTTTTCACAAATAATAACAAATAAAGTTATACTTCTTTAGATATCACCTAAAATGCATAATTGTTTAAAATTCAATTTCATTTTTTTTAATTATTATTATTATTATTATTGCAGAACTTCCACTTATTCTCCAGAGTAGAGCAAAAAATATATTCTCATTTGCCTTAAATATTTCTTATCATCTGGATAACTAACTTCTAATTGCAGCCATAAAGCTTATTTTCCAGGTTATTATCTAATCTAATACTAAACTCTATAATAAAGTGATGCTTAAACAATAAGCCAAATCATAATACACCAAATAAATTTTGATTTCAAGAGTAAATGAAAAGTTTTGTGTTTTGATGTAAGTACTTAAAAATAATTTAATCTTAAAATGTTGGTTCTTAGTCTTGATTGCTGATGCTAGCACTAACCAATCTTTGTTTTTTTTTTTCTTTAAAAAATAAATTTGAACTATAACTCTTTAATTTTTTCAGAGCTTGAAAAGTTCAGTATAGCTCGAAATTACTTATGTGTTGCCCTGAAGATCAAATGATTCATACTACAAAAAAAAATTGGTACTTCAATATTCCTTATTACCAGGTACATTCCTCTTCTTCTAAATTATATCTTTCCATTATGAAAGGAAATCTAAAATCATAACTCCCAAATACCAGTTATCAACACTCTTATACCAGCCATATAACAGTTAACCAAGCTATTGAAAGAAGAAAAAATAATAATAAATTGGAGAGACAGATATATAACTATATTTCTGTTCCCTGTTACTCTTGAGAAAGAGAAAGCTAAATTCTTTTCATATACATAGGCCAGTTTGTTAAAATTGTGGGAGGCCTAACCCACTAAATATTCATATATACTGCCATGTATATTGACATAAATAGATGCATGTCTGTTTAATTATCTGATAGATATGCATCTATCTATCTATCCAGTAAATATGCAAGTCTAGATTAATAGGTATGTAATTATTATTATTATTTTTTTTTTTACATACATATCTTGCTCTCAGCACTAACTTGAGTCAGCTTATTTTTCACCCTCTTTGTCTTCGACAAAAGATCTATTTTTTTTCTCACCATTTCACTTCATTTTACTGATTTTTTTTCTAACTGTGAATTCCTTATTTCAATATATTAGTATACCTTGGGAAAAATGCAGCATACTGTGATTAGCATTTGAAAACTTATGTCTTTTACTGAATCAAAATTAAATAATCTGAGACCAAGATAACAATGAAGTGTATTCAAAGTTAATATTTTCAAAAGAAAGTTGAAACAAAAAATTTAATATATACATATTTATTCACATTTTTTTACATTATCACTTCAATAAAAAAAAATGAAAAAAAATCCCTAAAATAACAAGTTTTTCCATTATATAAACAATTCATATACATCATTCCATACTATTTTTGTTATTTGAAAAAAAGTTATAACAATTAAATAGCTGCCTAAGTTTTTACATTTCTTGGTGATCTAATAAGACCAAGTAAAATAGCATCTGCCTCTAACAGTGTTAAATCTCTTGATGACCCTAAGAATCGTGTAGAGAGCTCCAAGTCCTGCAGCCGAAGTCTTACTCTTGCTCCTCTCACAAAGTCTCTGCAGTAAAAGAGAAATCAATCAATAAAAATGATAAAAATACACAAGTACAAGACTAACTACACATCATATACCATTCTACTCATATGATCATCATTCATCTAGTAACTGCCATACTTATAAAAAATATTCCCACTGAAACTTCTTTGTCTCACAAACTACAATATCCTATTTAACATAAGTGATACAAAAATAATGCTATGAGGAAAGAAAAATAACATACTCTCCATTCCTTTGCGGTCGGGGGCAAACACAGTGGAATTTGCCTCCAAAATCAATATAAAGATCATTTTCAACAACGTGGAATATTGTTCCCTCTACAATCTTCCCTTGAGGATCACCAAGCTGAAAAAGGAAAAGGATATTTAAACAAAAATTTCTATTTTTTTAAACACAATGATGGGAACAATAAAACAGATTTAGTAGTTTATAAATTTGCCTAACAAAACATGATCATATTATGAGATAACACACAACTGAAAAAGTGATAAAAAAAAGATACACAAGAAGACAAGGCAAGAAATCATACCTTTGAAATGAAACCTCTTATGAAAGTACTGCTGCTAAGTAGCTTCTGTTTAATTCTACAATTGTCTATTAATATTTTAAGTGTATACATATATCCATCAAAAAAAAAAAACATACCTGAAAGTATTTCATATGGTTAGCAAAGGCTTCATAAATCTTGGATCTATCTAATAATACTTATCATTCCCAAATCAAACAACAGAGGAGAACGTGACAAAATTTTCTGATTTTTCACATCTTTTGCAATGCAAAAAATATGGTATAGTTTCAGTTTAGCACAACTGTCTAGCAGAAGATAAATTTTGTCTGTAATAGACAGAACAACAAAAATAGGACGCTTTTTATCTACAGCATTCTCTTTGCAAATTGATAATCAGAAAGTTGTAGAACATGTAATACTTTGTTATACATTTACTTAATCATCACACAAAGATATGGAAAATATAATGACATTCATAAACAGGGTGAAAATTACATTTACTGATATATGAAATAATCTGTGCAGGTGGGCATCTAGTGATCCTCACTAGGGAAAGAAAGTAATTGGATGGGGGATTAGGGGGTAAAGCCCTGGGTTAGGTAGGTTGACAGTTTTTACAATGATATTTGTGCATTCCCAGGAGTACCAGAGACTTCACTTCATATACATTTACCAATACTTTAACTTTTATCATTTGCAATGGAAAACAACAACAGATCATGTTTATTACACTGTTAAAAATTGAAATGAGAAGTAATAATTCTAATGTTGAAAGGTTGTGTGAAACTGGTTTCATCTATACTAATGATAACTGACTCAAAACACTGAAATATCAAGATCTTATTGTTTGTGATCCAATTATTTTTCTCAAATTCATTTTCATGGTGAGAGTTTACAGTGAGTGATTAAACATAAATGTAAACAATGATATTAACAAATACTGATTAACTTCTTCATTATCATTTGGCACAGAAAATCTTATCAATGAAAATTTTTCTACATTCCTTCAGTGCATGGTAATGCACTAAAACTGTATCAATACATTTCTCTGTATCATTTCATCAGGCACTGAGTACATAAACTCCTGTGCTTCAGAAATTAATACATGATATGAGTCCTCAAGCTAAAAAAAAAGGAATTGTTTAAAATACCTTTAATGACAATGATATTGGTATCAATGGATTTCTCTAAGCTACCCATATATGTAAGGCATTTACTGCAGAATCCCCCCCACATCACATTCTTGGCCCTGATAGCAAGAGTGGGTACCAAGCCAAGTGTGGGGTAAAATATGACTAATATACACAAAATACATGACTTCAATTATAATATATACAGAATAAGTCACTATGTTGTCTAATGAAGGGGGGTTGTAGTCTTTGCAACCCCCCTTGAGGGGCTGCCATCCCCAACCATGGCCTAGAAGACAAAAAATCCTCAACATATTCACATCAGGGTAAAGCATATGACTAACAAGCAGGAGTAACTGATGCCGAGTTAGTCTTATCCTCTATCCTGCAGAAGCCCCACATGGGGGTGGTTGCATGGGGGATAGCCGCCTGAATGTGACTATATTTTGACTAATTTTCTGTATGATTCATATCATACCCCACAATTACCTTGATAACATTAATGCCTTCCCCTGCTATCTGGTCCAAGATTGTGGCATTGGGGAGAATTTCAATTTCACACAGCCATATGTTGCAAGGTAACCTTTGCCTGTAATTGACAGAACATAGATGGAAATTTTCATCTGTGGTATTTCCGCTGTAAATTGATAATAAGAAAGTTGTGGAACGCATAATACTTTTGTATAAATATACATGAAAATGCAATGACACCATTATAATCAAAGGGAAAACTATACTCATTGATACCTGACATAATTTGCAAAGGTAACAAATTATGGTCATTTTTTAAGTTTCAAATAGCCATAGAAAATAGATGAAAAGTCATATTCTAGGTCATTATGCCTATTACAAAGTTCCCTTTTTAATATAAGACTATGAGAAACAAACTATACCAAAATAACATCAAAATTAAGGAAAACAGGTCATGACAAATGCCTTCTAAGGGAAGAGCCTCCAATAGGAAGATATGGTGATCAGATAGGAATCTGGGGGCAAAGAGATTCGTGTATATTACAGTGTGAATAAATGAATGAAGGAATAATAATTGCAAGGTTGGATGGCTGTGTGGGATAATCTCTGCTTAAAGATGATACCCTTGCAGAGGAATAAAAGTCGTAGTCATTTGTACAAGAAATTATCTGCAGACACAAAAGGAACACCATAAATAAAGGGAGAAGATTTGAGAAGAGCTGCCTACAGCATAAGTTCACTCGTGCTCCTGAGTTTCAGCTCTATCTTCCTATGCATATAAGGTGAAGATAAAATTTTCTCGGCGGTGCTGGGGGGCAGAGCCTCTCATCAACTCTCCAGAAGGGCACACCCAGTCACTGCAACTTTGATTGCTGAATAAATTTTGTGACACAGGACAGTCTCTGGCAAGCAGAGCTGGAATTCAACAGAAATTTGTCTGCTAAACGGAAACAAAAGACAACCGACAGATGGTGATGGCACTTCGGAAATTTTTTCCCAAAGGCGATTTTTGTTATTTTGTATGATGTAAAATAAAAGTGCTTAAAACAATATTGAAATATTTTTCCCTGTTCATATAAATTAAACATGAAAATTGCTGACACCATCCTGGTATGATCTGATATGACATGAAAACATCATCATAGCAGTAATTTTTTTCAATGTCATGTCAGCTGCGTCTTCTAGCAGAGCATCACCAAAGGTAGAGCGCCAGTCACACAAAGTGACTTTAAACCTTCAGCCCTACATCACTCTCACTATGAATAGTTATATACTTTTTCAATAAATAAAGTTTACAGGTTCTATCTCGCATTTTCTTAAGTTATACATCTAATACATTTTCAATAAAGACCTGTAGGTGCATTTTACGTTACTGAATGTGACAATATGAACCTGGTAATGCATTTATTGTATATTGTTTTATGGAGTGCAATAAACAAGAAAGTAACTCTGGGAATCTTATAATCACCAGACTCTGATCCTACACACTGTATTTGTAATCTAATATCTATCCGTTTATGAAAGTTTATGGTTCAATTTATTATTCATATCCGTTTTCTTTATCATCTGATGTTTAGAGAACAGCAGAAATGCTGCTACAGAAAAGCGGTCAGCCCTGTTGGTAAGGGCATAGAGACTGAGTGCATCTCTACTGTTAATAATCTATAGTAATATTTTTACAATATTTTCACATAACATATCCCGACAATTTTAGTGGCTGATTCTGTATCTTGTTCAATTATACCCTGCAATTTCCCTGGTATACCTTCCACGCCCTCCCTTGCTATTAAGGCAAAGATTGTCAATAATGGGCGGGAGTCCATGGCATCAATTTGTTGTATTTCAATAATGGCATTGTGAAACTAAAACTATTCCAAGTACTCTGAAAAACAAAAAAATATGTGGGAGTTTGAGGATATTCCATGGCATAATTCCAACATATTTGTGTACTAATCGGCCAGTGAAATCCACTGATACCAAGATCGTTGTGATCGGTTATGCGAAGGTATTTTGCATATTCACTCAGAATTTCACAATTCATACATACCACTGAACATACCTGCATAAGTTTGCAATTCCTCAAGAGTGACACAAATGCCTTGGGCGCAGAATCGGCCTCAGAGTCCTCGCCGGGTGATTCCTTTGTGTACCTCTCAAACGCTTTGGCAAATCCTCCTAATTTCTCATTCTGAGTTTCCGCGGGGTTTTCACTTACACCAGAAGACGTTCCTGGACTGGCAACGGTGGTGCAATACCTCCTTATCGTGAATAATCGTCTCAAAGGTATCCTAAGCATGGTGGAAGAAGCCATTGTTATTGTTTACATCCGAAAGTCAATTGAGAATCTGAATTGCAAATTATTGTGTCAATATTCTTTGTGAGGTATAAAATTTTAAGAACCACTTAATTTTAGTCAAAATTTATTATAAATTGCCTCAAAATAACCCAACGAGAAAATATTGATTACAGAAATCAACATCCCGTAACAAATACTTTAATTTGGAGTAAATCCCAACAGGTCAGTCTTCCTTGTTATATGTCCTTCCTTTTTTGCGATCAAAGTATTTTATTT